TGTGTTGCCAGCTGGTGAAGGGTTCTGCTTGCTGTACATCTACACTAACTGCAAGTTGAGTTTCTTTAGTTGGGGTTAGTGGGGAAGATAACAGATACCAGTTAAAGCAACGCTGCATGACCCCGTGGAATATTTCAGCACAAACGTGAATATAAATTGTGTTCAGGTAAAGAAAGCAAGCTGACAGTATCAATGCTGGCTTCAAAAATGAGCAGCAATATGGTTTCACCTATTTCTCAAAGAAATGTTTCTTGTACCTTCTGCTTTTTACCAGTTTCATGTTTAATCACACAAATCCAGCTCATCAAAGAGTTTTAATTCAACTTGAAGAAAATTGGACTTTTGTATATTTCTGTGGAATTTTTTTTGCCAGGTGATAGTGAAGCTAACTGTTCTTGGACACGTGTTATGTATTAAAAAAACCCCAAGTGTTGTCAGTCTGAGATGATGGGTATATGGTGCAATGCCAGAATGCTCTTTTTTTTAAAGGTGTGTTTGGATTTGTGTTTGGGTCTTCTTGAAAAGCAGTAGTTCATTCATCTCAAAGCAATACAGTGATTAACCAAATACTTTCCAAGAGTCTAGGAAGTTACAGGTAAGGTGATAGTCTGTAGATTTCCTGTCTTTCTTAAGAATAAAATAGGTCAGTTTTCGCCAGATTTGCAAGAAATTGGAGCATTCCTTTAAGGAGAAATGAAATAACCCAGTTTTGGGTCATTGTCTGTTGAGTGTTGTGCCCATTACAACCTTGTAGGAAGAAAAGGTAACCAAAGGAGAGGTGATTGTTTTACACAGTGATTCACATCCATGCACATGCTTAGAAGAAACTATCTGACTGCTTAGGATTTATGCAAGACTGTGTTGATTCACAGTCTTGTGAGCATATTCCACAGCTTGGTAATCTGAGAAGTAGAAGATTTTGTACAATACACACTCCTTCTCCATCTCCTCCTGAAGATTCTCTAACCAGAATGAGAGGGAAAAAACCAACACACAATTAAAAAAAAAGAAGAACCAACCTACTTTAGACTAGATATAATCCACCTGGGGAAAAGCATATATTCTTAGGTGGTGGACTTAATACAGAAAGCCAGAAGAATGTGCAGAAAATTATGAAAGAAAGTAAAGTGGGTTAGCGGTATGTTGTTTTCCTGCATTATTTCAGAAGTTGGAAGATATTAGCTGAGATTTTAGGTTAGTTCATAAGCAAGGATGGCTCAATCTCACAAGACATCTGTTTCTGAAATTAAAAAGCCAACAGCTGCAGGATTCTAAACTGTTAGCAATCTTCGCTTAATAGAGATCCATGATTCAAAGAGATATGTGACTTAAAATCTACTAGGGAGCACGAAGCAATTAATAGTTGGAACTTTTTATAGCACCTTTTATCCAAGGATCTCAAAACACTTTACTGGCTTTAATTAGGCCTCACTCCGTGCAATATCCGCCTGGAATAAAGAAATGTTATTTTTTCCTTTGGTATATAGAGGAACTTGAGACACAGAGGTTAAATGACTTGACAATGATCATGTAAAAGCAAATAGTAATGATAGGAATAAATCTCAAACCTCCTGCTTTCCAGTCCCATGTTCTATCCACTAGCCAAGTTTCTTTCCTCTACATTATACTTATGGCTTTTTCTTATCTGTCCTATAACACATGTGATTTTGATTACAGGATCAAAACCCAGGCAATTAGAAAGACTTTTATCCTTTCCAGAAAGCAAAAAAAAATATTGAAACAAATCAGTAAAAGACCACTTTCTGCTTTCAGGTAGAGGAGAAGCTGTTCCTTATTTACTAGAGTGAGAGCTGTGAAAGATATGGAAAAGCAGACTCCAGAGGTAAACATGCTGACTTTGGAGATAATGAATAAGGGTTTGGACTGCTGCCTACCAGGAAGAGTAGTTTGGGGTGGGTTTTTTTTCAGATTGTATAAAATGCAAGGTACGATGCCTGCAGTATGCTCAGGAATTCAGCCTCACAGAAAAAAATCTTAAGACTGTGAAGGAGATAGTCTCCTGGGAAAAGATAATAGGGAATCCTCTCACCCAGGTATAGCCCCTCAAGCTGGGAAGTGTTGCATAAGAGACAGGTATCTATCTACTCATGCAAACTCTTAAATGCTAGAGTCCTTGGCAAGAAGCAGGAGGAAAGGAAGTCAATATTATTAAATTAGCAGATAATAGAGAAAATTCTGTTGTTGTGTCTCTAATAGCAACTTGACTGAGGATATTGGATCAGATAATATGATTTGTTTCTTGTAGTTTGAGGTACATTTTGAAAATGGTAGGAAAAGGAAAATAAGCAAAAGAACTAGGTTAACACTAGTAGCCTGGATAAAAGCTGTGTTGCTTCCATCTCTCAGCAACCTAATTTCAAAGAGCCTGAAGTTTTTATTTCTAGAATTGGTTGCTCGTCAGATGCTGATAACATTTATTGACAAGAGAGAACCCAGTTCAGACCTTACACAGAGAAAACCAGGTCATTCATGAAAACTTGATTCATTGGCCTTACTAGAGACATCTCTATGCTTCGCTTTATGTCAAAGCCTGGAAGCATGAATCCATTGTTTTTCTCCCCGTAACTGACTCTCACTAATTTCACCATAATAACCCACACTGAATACTAGAGCTGGCCAACCAGTGCAAATATTTGTTACAATTTTTTCAGCACCAGGAGAACCTAAGAAGTTCTGTGTTGAGGTATCATGGGAAGAAATATTCAGTCAAATAGTGAGTTTAGAAAAAATATTGAAACACTTGCATTGATTGAAGTATTCACCATCCAAGTGATCCTGAGCACAGTTATAGAGTCAGGGTGTAACAACGTTGCCCAGGCAAAACAAGCCAGCACATTCTCATTTCAGAGGTGATGCTGTGAATTAATTCACAAGGGTTTCTTACCAAAAGTTACTCACCAAATGTTCTTCAGGAATAAGATAAAATACCAAAGGTACAGGTTCGGAAATTAGAAACTGCTTGCATTCCACTTAGACACAGAAAAAGATGGCACTGAAGTGATTTCACTGTTCACACTTCACAAAATCTGCTGAACGTAGACTTGACTTTTAAATAAATAACCAGTCTTTGCAGTTCTCATCATGGATTCTAAAAAGGCAGATGCAGCCATTGCAAATGATTTTGCTCGGTGTTACATTTGTCAAAAGCTGTCAGAATGTAGTAAAAAGGTGTTTATACAGAGTAATATGCTGCTTGAACTCTTGTACGTCTCCTAGACTGGAGATTTTAGATTGCTGATTTGTAAGAGTGAAAGAGTTCCAAATGGGCCTGTTATTTTCTGGCTTTACTAATTTATATATGATGCACTTCTACACATTTACATGTCTGCAAATTACAGCCAGCACTCAAGGCCTGAAAAAGGAATCTAGTCAGATTGAACAAGACCAATCTGCTTCACACTGAACTATGGTTGTGTAGTTAGATGGTAGGAATTGTGTGCAAAATAATCATTATTTTACCCATAATTTTGCATGCCTTTAAGCATGACTAAAAGAACTTTGTTCAAAAATGAAGTTTGTGTCAAGACACTCAAGATTGTGTCTTGAGGGAAGGAGAGGAGGATTTTGCCATATGCTAAACCAACAAAGTTGACAAGAGTTTTTCATACAATTCTGTGTGCCTGCTATCTTCTACATTGTGTCTCTGATCCACTCAAGCTTACCTGACCTTCAGAAAAAACCAAAACTAAATCAAAGCTGTTGAGTTCTATATAATGTGCCAATTTAAAGTGAATGTTTCAAAAAACAGTGTATTACGGTATTTTCATATGTAGCAGGAAATATTATATTTATCTGGAATACAGATAAGAAAGGTACATCCTACTGATGAACAGGGGCATGCTGTTTGGTCTGGTTGCTGACTAAATGAATACTATAACCAACATAGTAATACAAGTTTTATTTACTCTAATTTTTTGTGAATATTATTAGCTGAAAATTATTTAAGAAATCTATAAGGTACTGGCAGGCAAACATACAAAGAAGAAAGAAATTTTCAGGAAAAAAGACAGTACTTACTATTATATTTGGCCAGCTGATTGAGTTATATTCATAAGCATGCTAAATAAGGAACGAACTGGTGAGAGAAAATTATACCTGCAAGACCATATATGAACCAGTCTTCTTCAGTGTGAAAAGTATTAAAGATGTACCAATGCTTAGAAACTAGTCTTTCTTATGTTTTGGGGGATGAATTAAAAAATTGTTTTAGAAATCATTTATAATCTTTCATAAAAAAGATTTTTAAAAATTATTAGAAGATGAACCTGCTAATACAAGTTTTTCTCTTTCAAAATTTGGAGCACAGGGAGAAAATTACATTTGTCTTTTGATAACCTCCAAAGGCACTACTTTATTGTCGTAATTTTTCTGAGAAATCCTTGGCCATGTTGCAGGGGCAGAGAGGTCTCAGAAGTCCCTGAACTGCAAATTGCTAGAGATTAGGAGCTTATTGGGGGATGAGTTCAAAATGTCATGATGGATCTGCTCTATTTTTATACCTCCACTATAACTATGGTATGATGGACATTCATTCTCCATTGTAGAAATTAAGACTGCCTTTATTTTGAAACACTCAGTATTTTCTTCATTTCCTGTTGCATTAGAACAAGTTGGCAAAGATTACATTCTCCAAAGCTTTCTATTTATAAATGCATTTCAGAGGGAGAATTATTTTTTACCATAAGCACAAGTCAGAATTCCATAAGTACACTTGATCTGAATTTTACTCTTTGAAATTCAAACACTGTGTTAGATATGAAAAATGTAGTGTATCATGCCAAATTACAAATCTTATTTCATTGTGCTGGTTTTGGCTGGGAGAGAGTTAATTTTCTTCATAGTAGCTGGTATGGGGCTATGGTTTGGATCTGTGCTGAAAACAGTGCTGATAACCCAGGGATGTTTTCGTTCCTGCTGAGCAGGGCTTACCCAGAGCCAAGGGCTTTTCTGCTTCTCCCCCCACCCCACCAGCGAGGAGGCTGGGGGGGGGCACAAGGGGTTGGGGGGGACACAGCCGGGACAGCTGACCCCAACTGACCAGAGGGGTATCCCAGACCGTAGGACGTCATGATCAGTGTATACACTAGGGGGAAGGTTGGCTGGGGGGCAGCTGTTCAGGGACTGGCTGGGCATTGGTTGGTTGGTGATGAGCAGTTGTTTTTCATTTGCATCACTTGTCTTTCTTGGGGTTTATTTCTGTCTCTTTGTTATTTTCCTTTTCATTACAATTTATTATTATTGTTGATAATAATAATAATAATCTATTTCAATTATTAAACTGATCTTATCTAACCCATGTGTTTTCTCGCTTTTACCCTTCCAATTCTCCTCCCTTGTCCTGCTGGGATGGGAGTGAGCGAGAGGCTGTGTGATGCTTAGTTGCCAGCTGGGGTTAAACCACGACATTCATATACACAATAAACCTTCTGAAACTCTGCAAGTTAATCTTTACAAAGCACAGCCATGTTTCATATTTTGTCTTCTATCATTGTAATAATGTGGGCCTTTTCAATTTCCCATATAGCTAAAATACACTACTTTGTGCGGTGATTGCATTTGAATAAATTGTTTTAAGGTTTATGGTATTTTTTTGCCATTACTCTAGGTCCTTTGACAGAGGATGATGAATAACATTCTTAATGAGAATTTCATGATGAACAACTTCTTCAGAATTTTTGTTATTTTTTCCTATCTTTAATGGCTGCATCGCTGTTCATGGCCTAACTCCCTGTAGGGATGGGACCTGGATACACAAACTTTTTTCCATATTCCTACCTTCTTTTGAAAGAAAATGTGAGTGTACAACTAGGGAATAAATTTAAGTATGATCTATAGTCTGGAGGGCATGGTAACCTGGACTGCAAATTACATTGTAGACAAAGCTGGTGTAATTGAACACAACAGCCCACCTTCAAGATGACCACTGCCCAATTAAAATTATGTTTAAAAACGTGGACGTGCTAAAATTCAATGCAATCTTCCAACATGGACTGTTCTTATTTCACTGTAATCATCAAAGCCAATTTCGACAAGTTCTAATCTCTTGCAAAGTCTTGCTGAATGTTCAGTTAAATCTGTCATTGGGGAATCATTAACATGTTATATGCTAATGATTACTGTATTGTTGTGAAGAGGCATCACTTCTAGTATCAGTTTAAGTATTCACACACACACCCCCTAAAGCAGGAGCAAACAGTTGTTTAGATGATTTATATGTACATTTCCATGTTTTTAAAATAATGGGATTTATCTTTGCTTTCATTTTGGATGCCAAAATTCAGAACTTTTATTAAGCCAAACCCGCAAAGATATTTAGCTTCCCAGTTCCAACTGAAGGACTTGAAATCCTAGTTCTGGGGAGGGCTCTGTAGTCCCTTCAATGCAAGTAAAGAAATTGTGGGCAGTAGATCATGCACAAGTGACAGAACTGGTGGGCTGAAAGCAATTCTATTGTAGGCAATTGGAGTTAGTAAGGCTCAAGGCTCCTCTCTCCACTATAGAAGTTGGACTGGACAGTTAGGGAGCAACTAATGGATGTGTGCCTCATGTACCTCTGCTTCATATTTCTACAACCAATAGCAAAGAAATAGAAATATGATGGGATGGAAATCTCCTGAGGACTGGAGCTGGATGACCCTAATGCTTGGGGAACATTCAGAGTTTGCTACCAAACCTATGATATCCACATACTCCTCTCCTGGACAGTAATAGTAACAGATTCCCATCAGTCTTAGTCATAATTTATTCCTTTCTTATTTCCTTGAGCGTGATAAAAAGATCTCCTGAGGTCTGAGACTGCTCTTGTCCAAAGAAAAACATACCACACCAGTTATGGGAAGAAGATGGTCAAATACATCAATTGGGTAAATAATTACAGCAGATATTCAGCACAGAAACCCATAACTAATAAATTCAACCTAAAATGTCACTAATAATGCAGGCTGTTCCTGGGATCATCAGCTACAGAAGATAAAGCAGCTCTTTCTAGTGGTGTGACTGTATGATACGGCATGATCCTTTTTTTCACATGTTCACTAAACATATCAGCCCATTTAGCTCTACACAAACTCTCTGTTTATTCATTCCTTTGAAGCTTCAGTAGCACATTCAGCTCTAACATGTGTTTGAAACGTGATGAAAGTATAAGGCATTCTTGATAGAAATAAAAGCATGATTAAAGAGGTAGCGCAGTAACTGTCAGTCACATTTTGTAAAGTCATTATCCTGTTGCAGACCTCTGCTTAAGAGACCTATCTTCTTACCAAATATACATAGTTACTATTATTGGGGAAAAAAAAGGGGTGGTGGTGGTGTTTTCTCTTCTGTCTCTAATTTGTATGTGTGTGTTTGTGTGCACCGGTGCATGTGTGAACACTTGTCTGTCTCTGCATCCACTTTTATTTCCTTACTCAAAATGTAGTTGGGAATGCAGCTCTCTAAACCAACCAAGCAAGTCCTAGACATGAAACAAATTCTACCAAAAACTTGCCATTTAATCAGAATTATATGGCATTTGGTTATACATTTTGATTATTGCAGATGATGGATGCAATAAGGACAAAATTTTAAAAAAACCCTCAACAACTCAGGAAAATATTTCTTAAATAATAATAATAATTAAACAAAAATGTGGAAAGGCCATTCAGTCTGGGTATTTCCTTGAACTGATGAAAAGGATAGGAACCTAAGCCCATGTGGCTAAAATTAAATCAGGTGTATTCAATTCACTGCAGTAATTGCCTTGAACTGTGGGAGCAGTACCAATTCCTTAAGTCAGTCCCCTGTGTTAGCATGTCTGCAGTCCTGCCGCCCTTTGATGTGAAGTTATATGTCTATGGATGCTACCTTAGGAAGGTATAAGGGCCAAACCTTAGCTACAGGTCAGTGTCTGCAAAAGCTGCACACAGAATCATATCTATTTAAACAAAGGCCGTTAACAAGAAATCTGTATTTTACTACTTCTTGTTGTTGTTCAAACTGTCTTAAGATTCTACCAACAATATGATCCAAAAGTAGGGCAGAAAGGCTGCTTTGCTCTTTCCATAGAAGAAAACGTGTCTAGAATACTGAATTTATCCATCTGCATTTCTCTGAGAGAGAGGACTGCAGAGGGAAAAGAAATCATATTTTACATATCAATCTCATACAAATTTCAAACCTCCACAAATAGTTGCTCAAAATCACAACACTCTATAAATGGCTTATAGAGCCACTTGCAGCACAAAGTGAAAGGGAGAACTTCACAGTTCCCCTCGTGAATAATGCTCTGCCAGGAAGCTTCCTTTCTCAACAACTCAAATGTGAATTCTCTGAACCACAAAAACATGAATCACAGAATTGCTGAGGTTGGGAGGAACCTCTGGAAATTATATAGTCCAACACCCTGGCTCAAAGCCGGGATGGCCAGAGCAGGTTGCTCAGGGGCTGTGTCCAGTCCAGGTTTGGATATTTCCAAGGTTGGACACTCCACAACTTCTCTGTGCAACCTATTCAGTGTTCAACCACTGTCACAATAAAAACAGTGTTTTCTTGTGTTTAGATGGAATTGTGTGTATTTCAGGTTTTGCCTCTCCTCCTGTCACTAGGAGCTAATGAGAAGAGCCTGGATCCATCTTCTTTACTTCCCTCCTCACCCCTGTCAGGTGTTTTTATACACGTTGCTAAGATTCCCCTGAGCCGTCTCTTCTCCAGGCTGAGCAGTCCCAGCTCTTTCAGCCTCTCCTCATACATCAAATTGTCCAATACCTTAATTACCTTCACCGTTGTTTGCTGGACTCTCTCCAGTGTGTCCTTGTCTCTCTTGCACTGTGGGGCCCAGACCTGGCTGGGCACTCAAGATGTGGCCTCACTGGTGCTGAGCAGAGGGGAAGGATCACCTCCCTCAACCTACTGGTGACACTTCTAGCGTAGTCAGGAGGCTGGAAGGGCGCATTGCTCGTTAGTGTTCAGCTTAGTGTCCACTATGACTAGCCAGGTCCTTTTCTGCAGACCTGCTTTCCAGATGGTTGGCCCCAGACTGTCCTGGTGCATGGGGTTAGTTGTCTTCAGGGGCCTGATTAGATGTTTCCCTCTGATGAACTTCATGAGGTTGCTGTCAGCCCGTTTCTCCAGCCTGTCCAGGTCCCTCTGGATGTCAGCACAACGCTCTGGTGTATCAGCAACTCATTCTAGTTTTGTATCATCTGGAAACTTGCTAAGGGTGCACTCTGCCTCATCCAGGTCATTAATGAAGATGTTGAACAGTGTTGATGCCAATATCCACCCCTGGCGTACACCGCTAGTGACTGGCCTCCAACTAGACTGTGCCACTGACTACTACCCTCTCAGCCTGGCCATTCAACCAGTTTTTGATCCATCTCAATGTCCACTTATCTAGGCTATACTTCATTAGCTTTTCCATGAGGTTTTTACGGGATATAGAGCCAAAAACCTTACTAAAGTCAAGAGAAACAACAACTACTGCTCTTCCCTCATCCACTGAGACAATCTCCTTGTGAACAACTATCAGTCTGGTTAAGCAGGATTTCCCTTTCATAAATTGGTGTATACTACCCCTGATCTCCTTCTTATCCTGGAAATGGAAGCCAACCATCTCAGCTATTGCTCCACGCCAACCCATACAGAAGTGATCTCATATGTAATGGCAGTGCCGCATCACCGGAAACCAACAGTTAAAATTTTATGACCTAGGCTATCAATACAGGATTTGGTGTTCCAAATCCTGAAAGCCATTACAAATGTTTAAACAAAAGTGTCTCGCTTTGAGGGCAGTGTATTCAGCACCCAAGAGAATGCAGGATCTATAAAAAGAATTCAAAAACTGGCAATTAACATGATCACAGACAAGTGGAGATAATGAAACAAGTTGTGTTTCCCAGTTTGGAGCTGAGATGACTTCAGTTGGGGAACATCAGATGAATGATTCAGAATGTAAATCAAAGGATTTTCACTCTCCCTTGTAAAAAAAAAATTAAAATTTTATTAATATTTAACTAATTTGGGTTGAGTTTAAAAACCTTTGTCACTCATGGGAGGATTTAATTTATCAGGATTTTTGTGAAGGATTGGATGTAATACCACATGGTAAAACATTGCTTAAAGCAGTGAAGATGAAGTTAGTGTCAGTACTAAGGTGGGTAAGGAACTGGCTGATGGGATAGTTATAAAAGGTGTATCAGAAAAGGGACTATAGGCCTAGAGGGAAGATATTCATGGAGTAGGTAGTTAGGGGGTTGTTTTTATTTCATGAATAAATTGATCACAGGACCAGTCAGATGATGGACAGAATATTGTGCAGGGCAAATTGGATCATTTTGAGGATGGGAAAAACAGAACTGGGAGGACATTTAATAGTAAAAATTGAGATTCAGGTCATTAGGAACTTGGAACATGAAGTACCACATTAAACTAGATGTTTTTATCTGGAAGTGGTAGGGAGAGTTTTGTTTCTGCCAGTCAATCACAGGACACCCTTCAGTAAGATGTGTGATATGACCATGAAAAATACCAAATGTTATTCTGTGATCACATGAAGGAAACTACACTAGCATCATTTGAAAATATGAACACATTTGCAACAGGTATTCTTCTCCTAGAATACTGTGCAGAGTTCCCAGTTAGGATCTCCATATTTAATAATTTCCAAAGCAAATTGGAATTGATGCAGAGATGGCTATGCAAACAATATGAGGAACAGAGAAAACATTAGTTTGATTCATTTGTTCTGCCAAAATGAAAGCTGACAAAGGGCATGGCTTCTACCTACCAATATGTCAAAAGTACTAGGGAAACATAAGAGAAGATAAATATCTTCTGTTATGAATTAGCTTTGATTAAACTTTAGGAAAAAAATGGCTCTTTGAAGAGCTTCCAGTCAGAGTAACAAACCCAAAATACTTAACTTATTCTTCATTGGCAACCTCTCTTCCCACACCTCTCGAGTGGACAGATTGCAAGACAGAGACTGGGGGAGCAAAGTCCCCTCAACTGTAAGAGAAGATCAGGTTCGTGACCACCTGAGGAACCTGAATGTACATAAGACTATGGGACCTGAAGAGATGCATCCCAGAGTCCTGAGGAAATTGGATGATATAGTTGCCAAGCCACTGTCCATGATATTTGAAAAGTCATGGCAGTCAGGTGAAGTCCCCAGTGACTGGAAAAAGGGAAACATTGCACCCATTTCTAGAAAGGGTAGAAAGGAGGACCCTGGGAACTACTGACATGTCAGCCTCACCTCTGTGCCTGGGAAGATCATGGAACAGATCCTCCTAGAAGCTATGCTAAGGCACATGGAGGGCAGGGAGGTGATTTGAGACAGCCAGCATGGCTTCACCAGGGGCAAGTCCTGCCTGACCAGCCTCGTGGCCTTCTATGACGGAGTGACTACATCAGTGGACAAGGGAAGAACTATGGATTTCATCTATCTGGAATTCTGTAAAGCCTTTGACACTGTCCCCCACAACATCTTTCTCTCTAAATTAGACAGATGTGAATTTGATGGGTGGACTGTTCGGTGGATGAGGAACTGGTTGGATGGTCACATCCAGAGAGTAGTGGTCAACAGCTCAATGTCCAGATGGAGATCAGTGATGAGCGGTGTCCCTCAGGGGTCCATACTGTTTAATATCTTCATCAATGACGTGGACAGTGGGATCAAGTGCACCCTCAGCAAGTTTGCAGATGACACCAAGCTGAGTGGTGTGGTCAACACACTGGAGGGAAGGGATGCCATCCAGGGGGACCTGGACAAACTCCAGTAGTGGGCCTCTGTGAACATCATGAAGTTCAACAGGGCCAAGTGTAAGGTCCTGCACCCGGGTCAGGGCAATCCCCAGTATCAGTACAGGCTGGAGAATGAAGGGACTGAGAGCAGCCCTGCCAAGAAGGGCTTGGGTTCACTGGTGGATGAAAAGCTGGACATGAGCTGGCAACGTGTGCTCACAGCCCAGAAAGCCAACCATGTCCTGGGCTGCATCAGAAGAAGCGTGGCCAGCAGGTCGAGGGAGGGGATTCTGCCCCTCTGCTCCGCTCTGGTGAGACCTCCCCTGCAGTTCTGCGTCCGGCTCTGGGGTCCTCAGCACAGGAAAGATGTGGACCTGTTGGAGTGAGTCCAGAGGAGGGCCAGGAAGATGATCAGAGGGCTGGAACACCTCTCCTGTGAAGAAAGGCTGAGAGATTTGGGGTTGTTCAGCCTGAAGAAGAGAAGGGGACACCTTATTGTGGCCTTTCAATATTTAAAGGGGGCTTATAGGAAGGATGGAGAGAGACTTTTTACCAGGGCCTGTAGCAATAGGACAAGGGGTTATGGTTTTAAACTGAAAAAGGGTAGATTCAGACTAGATATAAGGAGGAAATTTTTTACAATGAGGGCAGTGAAACACTGGAACAGTTGTCCAGAGAGGTGGTAGATGACTCATCCCTGGAAACATTCAAGGCCAGGTCGGACAGGGCTCTGAGCAACCTGATCTAGATGATCTTTAAAGGTGCCTTCCAACTTGACCTATTCTATGATTCTATGAACTGTTTTATCTAAGATGCTTGAGTGTTTTGTGAAAGGAATTGTACAGCAGCCTGACAGAGCAGAAAAAAAATGAATTTGATAATCCAGTCCCATTTCTTATGCTTTTGAGGATAATAGATCAAATACTTCACTGAAGATAATGTTACTCTTAACAGTTCACTGAAGAGTTTGGCATCCTTCGTGTAAGATACCCTGTGAGTTGATCTAAGGGATATACCATGAATGGACCATTTGCTAAACTCATATGATAATTCTTTTGAGATAAATATATTTAGAAATATTTTAATAGTAAAAGTCATCAATGCTGCTTTACCATCTGCAGGGTCTCTTATAGCCCTGAGCTCTGGGTATGATTTTGAGATCCACCAGTGGGATGGTTGATGCTGTTGACTTCCCAGGGTTGTGGGGTCCTTTTTCTACCCCTGATGCATTGCGATGCAGCTCATCACACAACAGACAGTGATGTGGTAGACGAAAGGGAGGGGTTGGAGAAGGGAACTGGGGGAAGGTTAGAATATTTTTCATTACAATGACAGGTCTATACCTCTGATCAGAGCTAAGAAAAGTCCTAACTGTCCTATATTTGCACTGAAAGAGATCTTTATATAAGAGTTTATTGGCATATATCAGTGGACAGTCATTCAGGCAGCAAAGCTCTATTAGATCACTTCGTTAATCTCTTTGATAATGCAGTATTGTTCCCTGATGTACATTTATTCACCTTTTGTTCAGTCTACTTTTAAATGTCAAGAAATGGGGCTTATATTATTCCCCTTTGGAGGTTAGTCTACAGATTAATAGGTCTGTCTCTCTTTCTTCGTCTTCTTTTCCCACTTCTCCTCTCAACACTCAGCCATTATTTTCCATTTCTCAATTTTATCCCATAACTCACAGCCATACCCATTATTACACTAAATTAATTCTTACCCTTTTTTTAAACTAAAACCTTTCAAATAGCTGTAGGCAGCTATCATTTTCCTCTCCGCATCTCCAGGCATGTTGCTATTCCTAAAAACAGTGAATAGAACAGGAATGGAAAGCAGTCATTTGGTGCCTACAGATCTTGGGTATTTAATTATTTTTTTAGGTTACCACATGTAAACTAGTGTTGCAAACAAGAGATCACTTAAGCAAAATGTGAGAACAGAGATAATGAATTGCTTACAAAGGTGATTTATATGGTAACAATATGAAAAATTGCATTTTGCACATCTTCTGCATAAAAATTGCGCATGTCCCATAGAAACCAGCTAATGCTTCTCAGCAATTGTGTCCTGACTTAATCGGCACACATTGCCTCAGATGAAGACTTCCTGAACTTTTGCTCCCCCTCTTACTACTTGGTAATTATAGCATTTAAATTGCTTTGCTTCAAAATCTACTGCTGTCACAAATTTCTTATTCCCCTGGAAAGAAATTAAAATAACTCAGTCTTAGTAAGTAAAATTCAAAAGTGAGCAAGTAGGGAAAACAAACTGCTACAATTTCCCCTAAAATGTAGGCAGTTTCTAAATACTCTAAGTACACATTGCATTCAATTCTAACCTTCTTTTCTTTCAAATACAGAATGGGATGTATCAAAGGGTGAAATCAATAGGGGAGTATTTATTTTGGTTGTTTGGTGAGAGTGAATTTATAATATAATATAGTATCTGGTAAGCAAACAATACCTACTGCTGCTTTTTATAAGTACCCTCTTATAAAAGGCTGTAGAGTTCCTTTTTTCTACAGAAATCCCTGCTAACATTCAGGGCCTCAGGTGCTATAAACCATTAATAGGGATGGCATATTCTGGTCTTTTTTTAGTGAATGAAGGGTTCTTTACTTGTTGTCTTAACTGTCTTCTGTAGAAAGATGATCAGAAGAGCCAAAAGAGCAGAACCAGACTGTCTATATATATATTTATACACAAATATAGCTGTGTCTGTGCTTGTGCATGCATATATATACACATATATATAATGTAATATAATATGCATTTTTAAAGTCTGATTCTGTTGATTGTATAGGCCAAATCAGCCTCCTCATTAAATCAATTTCAAAGGGAAATGAATGTATTTAAAGAGTGAGACATGTCTAGCATTTCTCTTGATGAACTAAATCCATTCTAAGCATACTAAAGTCATCAGAGCTACTGTGGGGATGTAGTCATCTTGGTGTTTGCATAGGATTATGAATGTACGGGGCATTTGCTAAGTATTGTTCCTACTAATTACATACACTACTTTTCACTTGCAAATGTTGGAATACTAAGCTGTGTTCCAGTTCTCAGAGATAACACTACCACTGGCTTGGACTGGGTTTCTGAGGATCTGTGTGCAGAAATAGTGAAGCTATGTAAGCAAAATATGTGTTTAGGAACGGAAACAAGCTTTGCAGACTAGGTTTTGAGGAGCATATATACCAGGAGCAAGATGATCTTCCCCCAAAATCCTTACTCAAGTTGTTAGGGAAGCAAGAGTCTTTTGTCCTTTGCATCCTTTTACTTCCCTTTACCTACACAGTCAGAAAAAGGTGAAGAGATTACATTGTACAGGTCCTATATTATCATGCTTGCAATTTGGTGGAGAATGAGTGAAGGCCTTAGTTTGTCAACTGTTACATGCTCGGCAGCTTATCAAGATGGGTGTGAGATCTACCAATGTTTGCGCTTGGATGAATGTTCCTGGAAAAATCTGGTTTGGTCTCAGATATTTGGTCTTAGTATCTCTTTCAGTTAAAATCGCATTCACCCTGAGAAAACTGCACGTTCTCCTGAAACAAGGATAACACAGTGGCCATGACTGAGACACCCTTTGCAGGAATTCTGATACCATTTAGGAGCAATGTGGCCTAACATTTGAAAGGAGAACTCAGTGTTCAGCATAAGTATTACTTTGTCCAGTATTGCAGAAAATTAGCCAAGCCATTAATTCCTTTTAAGCTGGAATTTTCCTGCTGTGAAATTAGATCCTTCCCATTGTTAATGCATATAAATTATGTCATATCTTTGGGTGAGGAAATGAAAGCAAGCCACAAAGCTTGTTTTAAAGATTTGGAAATCCTACCTGTGAATATATTGGAACATAAACTACCTCAACAAAGGTGCAAATTGAAAATAAAAAGGACAAGGAAATGGTAGGGGCTTAATTAAGGAGAGAGTAGTACAGTACTTGGAGAACAGGGTCACAAGCTCTTCAAAATAAAATAGCATACCTCTGACCTGTTCAGATTCCTTGAAAAAGTTAATAAAACAGTACATAAAGGTGACCCATTGGACATAACTTACTTTGATACTTCTTTATAAGGAACTCTCAGAGAGAATAAATCTCCACAGGGTAAGGAGCATAGTCTTGCAGTGGATTAAAAGTCACTTAAGTGAAATAAAACATAATGAATGGTTGTGAGGAGAAGGATTCTTGTGTTTCAATCACCCTGGATCACTTTCATAGGTCCAGGTGATGTGAGG